CCAATCCTCCCAAACACATGTACTAGGCCCATAACTAACCTCCTTTTACATTAAAAAAAGCAACATTTACCACTTTTTGTTGAAGCTGATTAATCACTTTTACCACACCTCCCCACATGGTTGTAGAATGCAACCCCCTATTGGTATTATCTTGACCCACTTTCGAAATTTTCCTCATTATAATCAACTCTATTTGGTATAAATATCCATACAAGGAATTTTCCCTCATTCTAATAAACTCTATTTGGTATAAATATCCATACAAGGTTGTATGTTTGGGCAACAATCTTTATAAATAGTTTTGAAAATTATATGTTCATTTGCTTATTATAAATTAGAAAGAAAACACTCCCTTATAAGTGAGGAATTTGTTTTTAAGATCTACTCAGATTAATCTATCGATAGTCAGGTGATTGATAGGCTATCCGATATGGTTACAGCTAAAATGGTGGCCACCTTATCATGAAACCATTCCTCAAACCATTTCAGAAGACACCTACTAGCTCTTGAAATGATATTTACTAGTGAAATGTCAAAAAGAAGAGAGATAAAAAGAGAAACGAGAGGGGAAAGAAGAGAGAGAAAGTTTCTCTCTTCGTGAATGATCCTAGAATCAGTCACTCCACAACACATCCAGGGGAGTCCAATTAATCCAAAGGTAGGTCACTTGATCTACCTTATTTTAAAAAAGTTATTACAAGATATACATTAAAATCAATTGTGACCTATCTTAATTTTTTTAGTGACATACCTTAATTTTTTTGGTTTAAAAAATAAAAAGAAATAAAAAATTGAAAGCTCGCATTTTATATTTCTTTAGCCCAAAACTAAATTCACATAAAATATCATGCAAAGAAATAGCAACTACATTCAAAATTAGGTTAGAAAAAAGAAAGATATTAAAAAAAACCGTATTTTGATTATTCCCATAACACAAGCAAGTCACAAACGCAAGCAGGCAACACTGCAACTAGTGATCGTTTCTTGCTTAAACGACCCGACCCGGAACCACAACTAGTAGTTTTTTGATTTTTTTTTCATTTTCTATCGGTATCAATTAAATAATGCAGTTTATATTCTAGACTCGCCAATGAACACACCTACTAGTACTTGGGGTGGTGTTTCCGTGTGGAAATCCCTCTCGACTTAGGATTCTACGTGAACTTCACCATACCATATAACCTTATATGTTTACTTTTTGCTTCACATTAGTTTTTAATTTATATAAACCAAAAAGCTCAAATTATATTGTTATTTCTTATTTTTTTTGTGTTTATGCTTTGATTTTTTAGAAAAGTCTATACTTGTATTCAAGCCCCCTCTTTTACAAATATACTATATGTATTTCGGACGCAATTCCTCATGTGACAAAAATAATAAATGAAAATATAAACCTTAAAGTATTAGATGGAGAAGAGCAAATGAGATGGTGGACATAAAATGCTAAGAACTAAAATTGTGAAGATAGGTCTCGAGTTCAAGTGTGGTCACCATCTTCTTTTCTTTACTATGTGAAGTAATAAATGGCCTTTGGACTAGCGGTAAGGAGTGACTCTGTCAAATGAGAGGTCATGAGTTCAAGTCTCATTATGAGACATAGATGGTGTTTAGGATTAGATTAGGAGTAGGATAGTTTGCCGTTTTATATATATATATATATATATATATATATATATATATATATATATATATATATATATATATATATATATATATATATATATATATATATATATATATATATCGTTAAAATATTGAACTTTAAATTATATATCATAAACAAGAAATTGTCTTATTCTGTGTCATGTTCATTCAATTCGCTTATCTTCTATGCAAAAAATATAATTATTTTTATGGATAAAATCAGACGTTACTGAAATGTCAAGATGTTTACAAAATGTCACCTATCTATAAAACATCAAATGAGTTCACCACTCACTAGGACCACCACATTTCAATATGACGTCGTTTACTCTTGCGAAAAAAAATGATTGCCAATTATTCTGGTGAAGTCAAATTATGAAAAAAAAAAAAAAAAAAAAAAAAAAAAGAGTGTTGTTAAAACATAAAACGAATTTTCATTTAGAAGAAAGAGAGGGATTTTGTCATTAATAACTAAAAGTTTGGAATGAAAAAGAAAAAGGAAAAAAAAGGGAAGTATGACGATGACATGCAGGATGGGTGGGAAAGTTTGACTCGCAAGCTTACATATCTATCAGAATCAGACCTATGCTCGAATGGCACAATCTTGATTTGAAATTAAATAATAATAATAATAATAATAAATAAATAAGTAAATAAATAAAACTTTTATAACAATTATTAACTATATCAACAAAAAGTAAGTTTAAAAAGCTCGAAAAAATTTTGATGCTTGATTTTCTATGCAAATGAATTTAATTTTCAAAGCATTGTATTTAATTATCTTTGTTGAACAAAGACTACAAGTTTAAATAATTATAAATTTTGAAAGTGATTATTGTTTTTGTGAATAGTACAGGTGTTATTCAGTCGGGTTTAATCGAATTTCGATTTAATTACTTTGTGTTTTCGGACTTAATTGTTTAAAATTAACCACAACTAAACAAAATAAGATATAATTTAATCGATTTTGCGTTATTTTATTCGGTTTATCGTATAAATCGAATATTGCCCATGTGTCAGTGCCAATTTCTTTTTCATCACAAACTATGAAATTAAATTAATATTTTTGTTTATTCTAAAAGTGTTCATTAAACCACACAAATAACAAAACTATGAATAAAAAACGATATCTCAGACATATACTAACTCATAGTTTTAAAAAGAATGATATAAGATAAACAAAATTATTATATTTTATCATTCTTTTATCATATTATTTGCACATACCCTGAATAAACATGAAAATAAATGTACAAATATAAGTTTGAACAATATACAAACGTAATCTTTGCACTCAATGGTCCATCTTGGAAAAATCCAATAAACACAACGTATAAAATAAATCCAAGGAAGGAACTTTTTTTTTTCTATAGTGTACTCCACCAAAGTGTATATGAGAATTACACATCAAAGTGGTTGATATTTTAGAACACCAAAAATGTTCATGATAATTTAAAATAGACTATGAATATATTGTCTTTAATAATAGATGATAATAATAAGAACATTTTTTCTTAATACTTTTAATATGAAACAGTTTTAGATATAATAATTAAAAGTATAACTCGAAGATGTGGAAATTTAGCAAATAAAGAGCGCAACTTAAGTCAAATTGAGTAATAGTGGGACCACAAAGTTTATAAACATTAGTCTAATAACCTGATAAACATAAAATTAATCGAACTCGAACCAAACAAATTATAATAAATTAGTTTATTAAACTGAATAGCTCAATTCTTATCTGGTTTGGATGAGTTATTCAATTTCGGTTTTTTATGAAAACCCTAATGAATAGAGTGTTTGGTGCAAATTTAGACTTTTACAATTATAAAAACTTAGTTGAACCGAATAGCTCAGACATTATCTGGTTAGGATGAGTTCAACTACGAAATTAAAATAAAAGAAAAATTGTAACAAAAACAATTTTGTTTAAGAACACGATCGACCCGTTTCACAGGCCCAAACCCATTTTGCAGATTCTGGCCCATTTCACAAACCTGTGAACTTGGGGGCATTTTTGAACTTTTCTTTGTCTTTTTCTGAAAACTAATTAATAAAATTGATTAATTTTTCTTTTGTTTTTCTCAATTTAATATATAAGTTCTTTCCGTATAAATAAAAACAAAGAGAGAATTCACGTAATCATATATATATATATATATATATATATTATATATATATATATATATATATATATATATATATATATATATATATATATATATATATATATAAAGGTGTTTTGTTACTTTTGTATATATTAAAAATATAGATTTTTTTTAATAAACTTGAAATGAACATAGTAATTTTCTGATTATTAACTTTTTGTAACGGTGATTATTAACTAATAATATGTTAATGTCTGTGTTACATTTCCGCTTATAATACCAAAATCTATCGTCGCCCAAAGAGAATGGACATTAATTTGTGGGACATGAAGTTGTAGGAAAGAATATTTATGATTACAACGTCGGAATGCTATGATTACCTCCACCTCATCATTCATGCGCTATTCTTCCTTTTAACTCCCAATAATATTCTTTCAAATATCCTCATCACTATAAACTAATATACATATATACTTTAACACCATATATGCTATATTCTTTAACTATTTGGTTTATCTAATTTATTAGACATTCTCAATAATTTCCAACATTGCTTTAAACTACTCAAAAATTAATCGGAATTGTTACACTCTCAGATCAATTTTAATATGGCTTTGATTTAATTCAAAATCTTTCATGCTTTAAATTGATTTAAAGTTACTATATTAGCTAGCGGTTGCAACAAATAATAAATCTTCTATAGAAATTAGTAGACTTGTATATTACATTGTTGAGAAATCTTCGATAAAGTCGTAATATTTTCGGTCAGTTTACGGTTTAATTTCGACATTTATTTTTTGAAAAGTACAGTCGAGATTATCTAATTTTATACAATAATCTGTTATTTTTTGTTGAAGAAAATAAAAAATATTTCATTATTTTGGACAAAATATAAACAATAAGAGAATTTATTGTTCAAAAAATAAAAGTTAAGATTAAACTATCGGAGTTTCTCTTACATTATAATATATAAACTTAGTTCTATTTTATTTATAAAATATTAATATTAATGATTGATCATATACTTTTTATATTCTTTTACCCCTTTTCATAACAAAATTCAGTGAAAAAGCATTGGCAAGATTGACCATGGATGATTATTGGTAAAAGTAGACAAGAAGAGTAATAATTACAATGGTGGAGAGGATTGCATGTTCAACGGAAACAAAGAATGAAGGAAAGCATTTCTTGAAACACAACAAAATCATTAATAACAATTTAAAACAAAATCTCATTTTTCAAGAAATTGCATCATTCATCATGCCTCCAAATGCAATCTCCATCTTCCCACAAGAATTCTACGGAAAAGAAATTAAAATTTATATGAACATAGCTAATTAAGCTAGCTTGTTGCCTCTGAGATGCTGTTTAATGATGGATGCCACCCTCTTGGTTTGATTCCGGTGGATGCAGAGTTCGCCGGACCCGCCGTCCTCTGCCGATGTTTATCTGTTTTCCTCATCTACATAATTAACCCAGTTGAATCGATGAGCTATTTTTTCATAAAATTAGGTTACCCATAAAGAGAGTAACTAGAAACTATTTAGACCTGTTGGTGGGTTTTCCCCGATTGAGTAGATCTTGTGGATGCTGCTCCAGAATCTGAATTTGCTGAGGTTTTTCCGGCAGACTCCGGCGGCAAAAAATCCTTAATATTATCCAATTTTCCGTTTTTCTTTGCCTTTAATCCTTTCATCACTTCTGCAAAATCAAAAAAGGGTATTAAGTAATGAATTAGCTTGTTATAAACATACAATTTCCTCAAATCGGACGAAAAAGAAGAAATTAAACATAAACATATAAACCAACCTTGGTTCGTGATGAGTCTGTAAGCATGGCCAAGGACTAGATTGTCGGTGGGACGGAGAAGCTTGATGCGAGTAACACGAAGAGGCTGATTGGTGTTTGCAGGGTTGTTGTTGGGATGTCGATGGTGGTGGTGGTCGACGTCGGAGGAAGATGAAGGAGGGGAGGAGTAGAAGGTGGTGGTGAGGAGGAGGGCGACACAGTGACCAGGGTGGAGCTTCATGATCTCGGCGGCAGAGATGGGTGAGTAGAACCTCTCAGCTCTACCGTTTCGGGTTTGTAATACGAGACTTGCATTATCGACGGCTTTGGCAGTTGCCCATGACTGGCGATCGAAGGAGATGGATAAATGGCGAATAGGTGAAGGAAGGGATATTATACACCACACCAGTCTCTTTATATATACCACTCCTCCCATTCTATAATTCTTATACTCTCATTCCCCACATAGAGTCTATCTCTCACACTCCTACACACACAAACATTAATATTATGTTAAATATATTTTTACATTACATACTTTACATATTTTTACACTAGGGTTAACATTAAATTTAGTTGCATTTTGTTGGTCGTAGTTACAGCTTAATAGAACTAGAACGTTGTAGTTTTTATTTTTTTGGTAATACTTTAATAAATATCATTTTATTTTTACAGTCAAATATATAAAATTTAATAAAAAAATAAAATAAAATTATGCATTGACAAATTTAATATTCTTTTTTAAATAGTAGATTTCTTTAAAAAAATATATCATTTATATGACATATTCACAGTTTAAAATATCATATTCATAGTTTAATAAACATATTAATTCAATAATATACAGTCTAATATGTTCATGCATACATTTATTGATATTTTAACATAAAATTTATATAAAATATACAATTTAATACAATTTATTTTTAGTTTAATACATAAATATCACAACATAATACAATCCATTACATATTAATTTACACATTACAAAAAGTCAAACCTATACTCTACCACCACCAACCACTTGTGCTACTGTAGTAACCATCATTCCTTCCATATCAGATATGTATATAAAATCATTGATTGACAGCTTAAATTATCACACCTCCCAAACCAGGATGGCGGAAACGTCCGGGGGTGGATGACTTTCATGTATTGTATCATAACAGTTGAATAATAGTAAAGAAAGCAAACATGACCATCATATATATAATTGAAAAAAGTTATATCATTGTAAGTGTTACATGTTTCAAAAGTCAATTACAATATGATGACAAAAGACTTGTTTGACGCCTTAGCGCTCCATCCTCAAAAGCTGGTGTTTACATGTTTTACTAGTTTCCTGAGAATACAAGTTGTTTGAAAAAGTGTCAACATTTAAGTTGGTGAGTTCATAAGAGTTTATATGAAATTAGTAAGCCTTTCTATGAAAAAATATCGTGTTTGTTTCCAGAATATCTGATATTTTCTATTAATGAAATATAAGTCGTTCACTTGTAAAATAAGGGTGTTTGTTCCTGAAAATCCAATATTTTCTAATAATGATATGTAAGCCGTTTACTTGTAATATGATAATGTTTATTCCAGAAAATCCAATATTTTCTAATCAATAAGATGTAAGTTGTAAAAGTTCCAAACCAAAATGTACCAGCGTTTTCCATACATTAAAGTAGTAATACGTAGTTTTATTCGTATATAAAACTATATGAAGAAGTGTGTTTTCGTGTAAAACAAACGTATCGTCGTCTCAATATGTGAGTTTCTATAACCGTGCTTTTAAGATGTGGTACCTGCCTCGTCGTTTTTCAGGCGCCGAGTTATTTATGACATTTGTCACCCATAACCTGTCAGTCTGGTTGTAGCTAACAACCAGGGTGTGGGATCATCAGTCCCGTATAGATCTATACACAAGTATCACGCTCTCGTATCGGAGATTCCGCGTATAAATACAGGACTTTCTATATGCCTCAGTTAGGTACGATGAAGATAGCGTCTCACAAATTCATTCAACGAGTGTACGTGTTTTTGAAATAAAACGGTTATAACTGACGTTATCCCATATTTCCAGGATAACGTCGAAAATGTCGTAAAACGGAGATATGTGTATTTTATATCGTTTTTACCCTTTGCTCAACGAGTTACAAAGGGGTAAAGTTTCGTAAACTATATTTGTAAAGTTTCGATAAAAATGGACGTTTTGTATTTGAAATATATATATATATATATATATATATATATATATATATATATATATCTATATATATATATATATATATATATATATATATATATATATATATATATAATGTAATGATTATCAAAATGTTGTTCGTGAAATCACACGCGATTGATAGTAAAACCATTTCGTGTTTTTAACGCTTTTCGTAAAATAGTATAATAACGTATTTAAAATGTCCGCGTTATAATGAAAATATTATTGTGTGTTACTTGTATTCCCCCCTAAAACATAGAAAAAGTCTTAAAAATGTAGGGGTATGAACTCACCTTATATGTAGTCGCGATTAGATAACGAGATAAATATGGTGACTTCGAGCTAGAGCACGGGAAAGATGTCGTAATCCTAATGGTTTTATACACATATTAATATGTGAGTATTTGATGAAACAAGAGCTTACGTGTTGTATAATCATAAAACAAGTGAATAATACTTACCAAATATTATAACTATGATAGAAGAAAGATGGGCTCCTGGAGTTGCTTGATCTTAAGTATGAAGGAATGGTTTTAGTATTTGAGAGAGAAATGAGAGTGATTCGTCTACTGGAGGTAAAAATGAGAAATGATCCTAAGTTGTGACTTATATATGAAGTAAAGATAGGAGGTTGAGTTGATGTTTGCGTTGGTTACTGGAATTATCACATTGGAAGCTGAATAAGATAAAATATCTAGATATTTTAAGGAGTTTATTGTCAAATTGCAAGTGTTTGCGGTCAAAGTAATGAGTTTACTGTCAACCATGACCGAAATCACCCAAATCACGCACAAAAGAGTGATTTCGGTCATAATGGACCTTAGAGAATAGGATTTCGGTCCAATAAGCTTGGGTTTTCGGCCATGATGGGCTTTAGGAATTGTGTTTTCGGTCCTAGCATCTTTAAAGTAATTGATTTTGGTCCAAGGGTGTTCCAAGGTTCTAAAACTTGAAATCCTTAAGTAGTATACCATAGCATGCTCATAGACATATTACTTGAACTTGTGTTGACTCCTTTTGACTCCTTAATGTTTTGTTGACTTCATTTGTCTTTGAAAGGTTCATTCAAACTTGGCTTTCAAAAGTGTTTATACACATGAACTTGTATAATCTTGCTCCCTTGGTGTCCAAAGTTCCATTGCATCAAGTATGTTGTGAATTTTATTAGTATCTCGTTAGAGTTTAGACCTACTTTGCTCTAGAATTTTTCAGGTTGTCACATAAATATTATATTCACAATTTAATAAACTAATTAGTTCACTTATTCGGAGTTGAATGCAAAATAATTATAAAAACTGATACATTCTTACACACACACATACACACACACACACACACACACACACATATATATATATATATATATATATATATATATATATATATATATATATTACAAATTCCTAAAATAGTCCCTATGGTTTACGTAAATTGCATGTTTGGTCCCTAACTTTTTTTTGAACTCGGACGGTCCCTGATACATCAGTGTTTACCATTGCCGGAATCTAATTAGAAACAACACAAACCCTAAATCGGAATTTGCATCAGGAGGGTTTGTTTCGAACGGGTAAAAGAGAAGAAGGCTGATGACATCGGTGGTGTTATCCAAATTGAATCGCCTACCATAAATCTTTTCATAAACTGACGTGCGGTTGGTTGGAGCTTCTAATAGGCAACATGAGGAAGCGGAGAAGTACATCAAAGATCAAAGAAGTCTTGTAATTGCATCTGTTGGAAAATAAACAAAGACATGTAACATAAAAAGGAGTAGATCGAAGAGATTGAGACCTTGGGCGCAGGCAACTTTAGAGTTATAGTTTTTCGGCAGCTCTGACGGCTCCAAAGGGGCAGTTAAGGTGGAGATCGGTGGCTTTAGGTTTGAGTTCAGAGAGGAGGGAGAGACGGATTTTGAGTAGATTGCGGCTTTAGAAGGGAATCGATGGGTGGGGATGAAGTGTTGAGAGGGTGAAGGTTGTTCTTGGAGGTTTCTGGTAAGAGAATGGAGGCCGAGAGTTTGTTGGGGGTTGATGGTTGAAGTGTTTGGTGTAGAAGATGAATGAGGTTGACGAAAGTACTGTTACGTGATGTATAAAAGGTTGGTGGGCCCACATATAATTAAACATTCTCTTTTTAATAACTTTTGAATAAAGAAAACAATTAAAATAATCAAGAAGGGTCTTTTAGTCCTTTTAAGTCAATCAGGGACCAAAAACGTAAAAGAAACATACAACGGGGACGATGCGAGTACAAAAAAGACAATAGGGACCAAACATATAATTTCGTAAACCACAGGGACTATTTTAGTAATTTGTTCATATATATACCATAAAAATAGTCACAAGAAAATTAGTACAAAAATTCATACATAAATCATTCATATTTCAACACAAAGTTATTAGAAATTCATAACTTAATACAGTCTTTTACAACTTAATACAGTCAATTCACAGTTCAATACACAAAATTCACAGCTTAATATAATAAATTCACAATTTAATGCACAAAAATTATAAATTCACAACTATATTTTCAACTTAAAACTTATATATGTACCTTCAGATCTATAAGCTAGTGTTTATTTCAAAGTTATTTACTTAAATATTCACAATTTAAATTTTACATACTTTATTCAAAATTATATAAAATCATATATGTGTATAATGGTTCTTTCATCTTATATTTTAAAAGCAAAAAATTATTAAAAAAAATCACAACTTAATACCAGTCAATTCACAATTTCATACAGACAATTCACAATTTAATACACAAAGTTTACAGTTTAATATAGTCAATTCACGATTTAAACTTAAAATTCACAACTTAATGCAATCAATTTACAGTTTAAAACACAAAAATCAAAGCTTAATATATAAAATTCACCTCTTAATACAATAAAGTCATAGTTCAATAAACAAAACGTATGCATTCACAAACATTTTATCAATTTATAACACTTAATACAGTTAATTCACAGTTTAATACGCAAAATTTATAGCTTAATACAATAAATTCATAAATTAATACAGATAACTCACAACTTAATATAGTCAAGTTATTGTTTAAATAGGAAATTCACGACTTAATGCAGTCAAATCACAGTTTAAAACACTACAATCACAACTTGATACACAAATCACTCATATTTTAACACAAAATCCATATAATATTCACAACTTAATACACTCGTTCATAGCTTAATATTGTTTATTCACATCTTAATTTTT